TCAGCCGCCGTAACGTGCGTGTGTAATTCCGGCTATTCTGGCCATTCATGTGAAACAGGTAATCTATAACTTCTGAATAGATTATACAAAAAACATACATACATTCACTTTTGATGTAAAGCAAAATCCAATGAAATTCTTATTCGTTGCTTATCAAGAAATTAAAGATACAGAGCGAACAGGGGAACAGAAAGAAAGAAATTACAGTGATTGTAGAGGACTCTTTGAGTTTCTTCTTACTTGAGAGTCAACAGAAGTGAAAGTACAGATATACAGATCTGAACTTTGAAAGAAATAATCAGTCCGTTTACTTTGTTTGATTTTATTTCTGATAGTTTCATAAATGAGCTAACTCTTTCCCTCACTGTCGTTAATCGAATTTAAGATACCACTTTTGACTCTATTTTACTGTATCCCTTTAAGTGAAGATTGATCTTTTCAAACGGGTATTTTTCTCTTCTCGTCATCTTTATCATATTCATTGCCTTCGGAAATCTTTTTTTTTTTTTTACATGTTTAGCTGATTGTCTGGCCGATTCATGTACGAGTAGAGGAACTTGTTCTCCTGGGTCAGCCGCCGTAACGTGCGTGTGTAATTTCGGCTATTCTGGCGATTCATGTGAAACAGGTAATCTATAACTTCTGAATAGATTATACAAAAAACATACATACATTCACTTTTGATGTAAAGCAAAATCCAATGAAATTCTTATTCGTTGCTTATCAAGAAATTAAAGATACAGAGCGAACAGGGGAACAGAAAGAGAGAAATTACACGTGATTGTTAAGGAAACTCTTTGAGTTTCTTCTTACTTGAGAGTCAACAGAAGTGAAAGTACAGACATACAGATTTGAACTTTGAAAGAAATAATCAGTCCGTTTACTTTGTTTGATTTATTGACTGATAGTTTCACAAATGAGCTAACTCTTTCCCTCAATGTCGTTAATCGAATTGAAGATACCACTTTTGACTATATTTTACTGTTTCCCTCCAAGTGAAGATTAATCTTTTAAAACGGGTATTTTTCTCTTTTCGTCATCTTTATTAAATTCATTGCCTTCGGAAATCATTTTTTTTTTTTACATGTTTAGCTGATTGTCTTGCCGATTCATGTACGAGTAGAGGAACTTGTTCTCCTGGATCAGCCGCCGTAACGTGCGTGTGTAATTCCGGCTATTCTGGCGATTCATGTGAAACAGGTAATCTATAACTTCTGAATAGATTATACAAAAAACATACATACATTCACTTTTGATGTAAAGCAAAATCTATGGAAATTCTTATTCGTTGCTTATCAAGAAATTAAAGATACAGAGCGAACAGGGGAACAGAAAGGTTGAAATTACACGTGATTGTTGAGGAAACTCTTTGAGGTACTTCTTACTTGAGAGTCAACAGAAATGAAAGTACAGACATACAGATTTGAACTTTGAAAGAAATAATCAGTCCGTTTACTTTGTTTGATTTATTGACTGATAGTTTTACAAATGAGCTAACTGTTTCCCTCACTGTCGTTAATCGAATTAAAGATACCACTTTTGACTCTATTTTACTGTATCCCTCCAAGTGAAGATTGATCTTTTCAAACGGGTATTTTTCTCTTCTCGTCATCTTTATCAAATTCATTGCCTTCGGAAATCTTTTTTTTTTTTTTTACATGTTTAGCTGATTGTCTTGCCGATTCATGTACGAGTAGAGGAACTTGTTCTCCTGGATCAGCCGCCGTAACGTGCGTGTGTAATTCCGGCTATTCTGGCGATTCATGTGAAACAGGTAATCTATAACTTCTGAATAGATTTTACAAAAAACATACATACATTCACTTTTGATGTAAAGCAAAATCTAATGAAATTCTTATTCGTTGCTTATCAAGAAATTAAAGATACAGAGCGAACAGGGGAACAGAAAGAGAGAAAATTACAGTAGTTGTTGAGGAAACTCTTTGAGTTTCTTCTTACTTGAGAGTCAACAGAAGTTAAAGTACAAACATACAGATTTGAACTTTGAAAGAAATAATCAGTCCGTTTACTTTGTTTGATTTATTGACTGATAGTTTCACAAATGAGCTAACTCTTTCCCTCACTGTCGTTAATCGAATTGAAGATACCACTTTTGACTCTATTTTACTGTATCCCTCCAAGTGAAGATTGATCTTTTCAAACGGGTATTTTTGTCTTCTCGTCATCTTCATTAAATTTATTGCCTTCGGAAATCATTTTTTTTTTTTTTTTTTACATGTTTAGCTGATTGTCTTGCCGATTCATGTACGAGTAGAGGAACTTGTTCTCCTGGATCAGCCGCCGTAACGTGCGTGTGTAATTCCGGCTATTCTGGCGATTCATGTGAAACAGGTAATCTATAACTTTTGAATAGATTATACAAAACACATACATACATTCACTTTTGATGCAATGAAAAATCCAATGAAATTCTTATTCGTTGCTTATCAAGAAATTAAAGATACAGAGCGAACAGGGGAACAGAAAAAGAGAAATTACAGTGATTGTTGAGGAAACTCTTTGAGTTTCTTCTTACTTCAAAGTCAACAGAAGTGAAAGTACAGACATACAGATTTGAACTTTAAAATAAATAATCAGTCCGTTTACTTTGTTTGATTTATTGACTGATAGTTTCACAAATGAGCTAACTCTTTCCCTCACTGTCGTTAATGGAATTGATGATACCACTTTTGACTCTATTTTACTGTATCCCTCCAAGTGAAGATTGATCTTTTCAAACGGGTATTTTTCTCTTCTCGTCATCTTTATCAAATTCATTGCCTTCGGAATTTTTTTTTTTTTTTTTTTTTTTACATGTTTAGCTGATTGTCTTGCCGATTCATGTACGAGTAGAGGAACTTGTTCTCCTGGATCAGCCGCCGTAACGTGCGTGTGTAATTCCGGCTATTCTGGCGATTCATGTGAAACAGGTAATCTATAACTTCTGAATAGATTATACAAAAAACATACAAACATTCACTTTTGATGCAAAGAAAAATCCAATGAAATTCTAATTCGTTGCTTATCAAGAAATTAAAGATACAGAGCGAACAGGGGAACAGAAAAAGAGAAATTACACGTGATTGTTAAGGAAACTCTTTGAGTTTCTTCTTACTTGAGAGTCAACAGAAGTGAAAGTACAGACATACAGATTTGAACTTTAAAAGAAATAATCAGTCCGTTTACTTTGTTTGATTTATTGACTGATAGTTTCACAAATGAGCTAACTTTTTCCCTCACTGTCGTTAATCGAATTGAAGATACCACTTTTGACTCTATTTTACTGTATCCCTCCAAGTGAAGATTGATCTTTTCAAACGGGTATTTTTGTCTTCTCGTCATCTTCATTAAATTTATTGCCTTCGGAAATCATTTTTTTTTTTTTTTTTTTACATGTTTAGCTGATTGTCTTGCCGATTCATGTACGAGTAGAGGAACTTGTTCTCCTGGATCAGCCGCCGTAACGTGCGTGTGTAATTCCGGCTATTCTGGCGATTCATGTGAAACAGGTAATCTATAACTTTTGAATAGATTATACAAAACACATACATACATTCACTTTTGATGCAATGAAAAATCCAATGAAATTCTTATTCGTTGCTTATCAAGAAATTAAAGATACAGAGCGAACAGGGGAACAGAAAGAGAGAAATTACAGTGATTGTTGAGGAAACTCTTTGAGTTTCTTCTTACTTCAAAGTCAACAGAAGTGAAAGTACAGACATACAGATTTGAACTTTAAAATAAATAATCAGTCCGTTTACTTTGTTTGATTTATTGACTGATAGTTTCACAAATGAGCTAACTCTTTCCCTCACTGTCGTTAATAGAATTGATGATACCACTTTTGACTTTATTTTACTGTATCCCTCCAAGTGAATATTAATCTTTTCAAACGGGTATTTTTCTCTTCTCGTCATCTTCATCAAATTCATTGCCTTCGGAAATCTTTTTTTTTTTTTTTTACATGTTTAGCTGATTGTCTTGCCGATTCATGTACGAGTAGAGGAACTTGTTCTCCTGGATCAGCCGCCGTAACGTGCGTGTGTAATTCCGGCTATTCTGGCGATTCATGTGAAACAGGTAATCTATAACTTCTGAATAGATTATACAAAAAACATACATACATTCACTTTTGATGTAAAGCAAAATCCAATGAAATTCTTATTCGTTGCTTATCAAGAAATTAAAGATACAGAGCGAACAGGGGAACAGAAAGAGAGAAAATTACAGTAGTTGTTGAGGAAACTTTTTGAGTTTCTTCTTACTTGAGAGTCAACAGAAGTTAAAGTACAAACATACAGATTTGAACTTTGAAAGAAATAATCAGTCCGTTTACTTTGTTTGCTTTATTGACTGATAGTTTCACAAATGAGCTAACTCTTTCCCTCACTGTCGTTAATCGAATTGAAGATACCACTTTTGACTCTATTTTACTGTATCCCTCCAAGTAAAGATTAATCTTTTCAAACGGGTATTTTTCTCTTCTCGTCATCTTCATCAAATTCATTGCCTTCGGAAATCTTTTTGTTTGTTTACATGTTTAGCTGATTGTCTTGCCGATTCATGTACGAGTAGAGGAACTTGTTCTCCTGGATCAGCCGCCGTAACGTGCGTGTGTAATTCCGGCTATTCTGGCGATTCATGTGAAACAGGTAATCTATAACTTCTGAATAGATTATACAAAAAACATACATACATTCACTTTTGATGTAAAGCAAAATCCAATGAAGTTCTTATTCGTTGCTTATCAAGAAATTAAAGATACAGAGCGAACAGAGGAACAGAAAGAGAGAAATTACAGTGATTGTTGAGGAAACTCTTTGGGTTTCTTCTTACTTGAGAGTCAACAGAAGTTAAAGTACAAATATACAGATTTGAACTTTGAAAGAAATAATCAGTCCGTTTACTTTGTTTGATTTATTGACTGATAGTTTCACAAATGAGCTAACTCTTTCCCTCACTGTCGTTAATCGAATTGAAGATACTACTTTTGACTCTATTTTATTTCATATTTCGTCGTTCGAAATTACATGAGATCCCGCCAAGCGCATGCGCAGTCAATTCGCCGCGCAATTGATTTTTACAGGGAAAGTAACTTTCCCTCAGCAGTCAAAATACCTAATTTTCGTCGTTTTTTCGGACCAGCGGTTTCGAAAAAATACTTCATTAGGGAGAGAAACTCTCCTTTTTCATGTTTTTGGAAGACTTTTGAGAATCTGTGCTGTTTTTATTTCAAAAATCGAAGTTTTGTTCCGATTTCCACGTACACGATGGCGTCTCCGTCAGGCAGCATCAAGCAGAAAACCAGCGAAACGCTGAGCACGGCTAAAGCCGGAACTTCACCGGGCGAAACCGCCGCGGGCCCCTCTACGAAGCCTGAGCCAAAGCGCTCATCGGCAGTGAAATCCTCCGATACGAAACGCAAAAGTGTCTTGGCAAAGCCTGCCTCGAATGAGTCTAAGAACTCTGGGCCTAAAAAGAAGGGCAAAAAGCCTGAAGAAAAGGAGGACTTCACGGATTTACGAGGTAGACTTGACAAATTGGAATCCTTAATGGAGAGAATGGTGGATTTTTTGCCTTGTCAATCTGCAACTCGCCCCACAGGGGATACACCACCGACAGCTGCGACGAACGTGAGATTTCGTGAAGTTGAACATGATGATGATGATTTTGAGCATATTGACACTGGAAACATGGGCCAATGCCCTACGTCATATGACATTGGCAGCATGGATGAGGGTGATGTCAACGAAACTGTTGCACCAGGTTTAGACCAGGAGAATGAGGACAAAGTTCCTGCCCTTGCTCAGAAATTTGCTATCCCCACTGGGGTAGGTGGCGCGATCCATGATGATTTAGCAAAGTCTGCCATGTACCTCATGTCCCACCAGCTAGAGGAAAATGTGTTGGAGGAAGCTGGAGGGAAATACCCTCCTCCAAGCAATTGTACTCCACTGTGTTGCCCCAAAGTGAATGCAGCAATATGGGAAAACCTATCCTCGCAAACGAGAAGCCGTGATTTGAAACTGCAAAGAATCCAAAAGCCTTTGACAAGGGGACTCACAGCTTTTATTCAAACTCTGTCCCCCGATAGCCTATCTGAGACACAACAGGATGCATTGGCATTGCTGTGTAACACAAACTTTGAAATCAACTGCTTACACAAAGATCAGATTAAGCCAGACTTAAATGCCAAGTACTCACATCTATGCAAACCTGCCACACCAGTGAGTCAGTTCTTATTTGGCGATGACTTAACAGAGAGAGTCAAAGATCTTACAGAACAACAAAAAGCTGCATCTGGCGTGGTGCGTGGACAACGTACACCCCGCCCCAGTACCATCCGTACAGGACGCAAGCGTCCAGCACTTTTCAATACCGCAGACAAGGATGGAACCGTGCCACCGGCACATCACAAACTTTTCCAAGTAGCAGGCCCACAAGTGGGAACTACAACACGCCTTTTTTGGGCCAGCGAACCCAACGAGGCAGACCATACAGAGCTCCGCCTCACACCCAGACGATGAGCATGGGAAAACAGACCCAATCCTTCCAGCGGCCACAGGCAGCAAGGAGGAAATAGCTACACCATTACCCAAAGAGGTAAGTAGCACATATGAATATTTTGAGAATGTTAAGATTAATGCTCCTTCTACTTCATGTACATTACAACAAGAATGCATCTCAAATGTGCCTGTTGGAGGTCGATTGATATATTTCTATCGTAGATGGCGTGAATTAACGTCAGATCTATTTCTGCTATCGGCAGTGCGAGGCTATGAGATCGAATTTGATTATTCGAAAGGGGTTCCCTCAAGAAATAAGCCCCTCTACGGTTACAAAAAGAGCCCTTTAGAAATAAATCAGATTACTAAAGAAATCTTGGCTCTACAAGCAAAAAACGTAATAGAACCTTGCTCATTTGAAGAGGGAGAATTCCTCTCAAACATCTTCACGAGACCCAAGAAAGATGGGGGTACTCGTATGATCTTAGACTTATCAGAGCTTAATCAAAGTCTGAATGTACAACACTTTAAGATGGATAACATCCACACTGCCAAGCACTTGATTTCTCCGCACTGTTATCTTGCATCAATCGACCTCCAAGATGCTTATTACTCCATTCCAGTAGACCCAAATAGTAGAAAATACTTGAGGTTCATGTGGCAGGGTGAGCGCTGGCAATTTGCAGCCTTACCTAATGGGCTCAGCACAGCCCCCAGACTGTTCACAAAATTGCTGAAGCCAGTCTTTGCCGAACTGCGACAAGCAGGTCATACAGTCATAGGATATTTGGACGACACCATAATTATTGGTGAAACAAAAGAAAAGCTGAAAGAGAGTGTGAGTGCAACAACCAAGATCCTCTCAGAATTAGGATTCCTCATTCACACTAAAAAATCAGTGCTCATCCCAACACGTGAACTAGCCTTTCTTGGCTTCATTCTTAACACTGAGAGTATGATTGTTAAATTGCCTCAAACAAAGGCACAAGAAGTGAAAGATTTATGCCGTGAATTAATGGGCACGTACCTCCCATCAATACGAATGGTAGCACGAGTGATTGGGAAGGTCATAGCAACTTTCCCTGCGGTTGAGTATGGCCCCTTATACTATAGATCAATGGAAAGGGACAAAATTGCAGCCCTCAGACAAAACAGGGGTCATTTTGACAGAAAGATGAAGTTGTCCCTTGAGGCAAAAGAGGAGTTAAAGTGGTGGATGAACAATGTTTCTATGGCCTCCTCCCCAATTGTTAGGAAAAAACCTGACTTAGAATTGCACACAGATGCCAGTGGCCTTGAATGGGGAGCTACTGACCTCCAGAAGCAAACAGGGGGTCGTTGGAATGAATTTGAGGCAGAAAGGGCAAGAAACAATGAAATAAATTTCCTGGAAACCCTAGCCGCTGGGTTGGGGATAAAATCCTTTTGCATGAATAAGCGTAACGTTCATGTGATGGTAAGAATAGATAATACCACTGCAGTGGCTTATTTAAATCACATGGGAGGCTGCAAGTCCGCAATGTGTGACAAGATGACGAGAGAAATTTGGCAGTGGTGCATTTCTCGAAATATTTGGGTCTCCGCAGCCCATGTACCTGGTCGGCTCAATACTATAGCAGATGAAAGATTTTGGTGTACCAGAAATAGACCTGTTCGCCTCGAGACTAAATGCTCAAGTAGAGAAATATGTCACTTGGCACCCAGACCCTGGGGCTTTTGCAGTTGACGCATTTACGCTAGATTGGAAACCTTTTGCATTCTATGCAGTCCCACCGTTCTGTATGATCCCCAAATGCTTGCAAAAAATCAGAGAGGATAAAGCTAGAGGGTTACTTCTGGTCCCTAATTGGCCTACTCAGGCGTGGTTCCCTCAGTTGGTTAGCATGATGGAAGGAGAGCCACTGTTTATCCAGAGGCAAGAAGATTTGCTTCTCCTTCCTGTGTTAAACACCACCCACCCTCTTAATGCTAATATTGACCTCTTATGTTGCAGGTTATGCGGCAACATTTTGAGAATCGGGGACTAAGCAGACGAACAGTGGATATCATTACAGCTTCATGGAGAGCATCAACCTGCAAGCAGTACCAAGTGTACATCACACAGTGGCGAAGATTTTGCCACAGCAGGAATACGAGTTACCTCCAAGCCGAGGTGGAAACGGTACTAGAATTCCTTAGTAGTTTATTTCATGACAAGAACCTTAGCTACAGTGTGATCAATACAGCTCGTAGCGCTTTATCCACTTTTCTGATTCTCTTTGACAGTAATCAGACAATAAGTACTCACCCACTTATAACCAGACTGATGAGAGGTGTTTTTCAACTCAGACCTGTCGTACCTAGATATACAGAAATATGGAATATTAGTCCAGTCCTCAATTTTCTAAGAAAATTGTCTCCAGTAAACTCCTTAAACCTCAGAGATTTAACACTCAAAGTATGTATGCTAATGGCTCTTGTATCGGCACAGAGAGTGCAAACCTTGCATATATTGAAGACTAACAAGATGACCCTGAAAGGGGGCTTTGTGGGTTTTCATTTGGATGAACACTTGAAGCAAAGCAAACCAGGAAATACCGATTTTAATTTTAAATTGGAAGCATATCCACCTGATAGAAGATTGTGTATTGTAAAATATGTGAAACATGTCCAGCGCACAGGACCACTTCGTGGGAATGAGAACTCATTCTTTGTAAGTTACACCAGACCTCATAATAGAGTAACAACTCAAACCTTATCTCGCTGGATCAAGACCTGCTTGCAAAGAGCAGGTGTGGATACAAACGTTTATAAGGCTCATTCAACGCGGGCAGCATCAACTTCAGCAGCTGCCAAGGCAGCACTTCCAATGGACCAGATCCTAGCCCGAGCAGGATGGTCTTCAGAGAAAACGTTAAGGAAGTTCTACAGGAAACCTTTTGAAAACAAGAGAAACTTTACCCTGGCAGTCTTACAAGATAGCACACTGCTTTAAGAACTGCATCAGAAGGCTTTTCAATAGAACTGGCATTAAGAGACCAGCTGTCTATTTAATACAACTGGGATTAAGAAACCAGATGGCTAGAATAAACTAGATACAGAAACGAACAATGTTTTTGCAACATTATGACATCTTATATATGGACGTCTTGTATGTGAAATGTTTTGCCACATGTATGAACAGACTACAATAACTGTCAAATATGGTGAGTCATTGATTAGAAGCATTCAATTCAATCTGCATAATCAGTGTTCACTTTTCCGTACATGTTGGTTGTTCCAAATGTGACTACTATGCTTCAAAATCTCATGTAATTTCGAACGACGAAATATGAAATAAAATAGTAAGATTAAACGAGAACTTACCGTTTGAAGTTTGATCTTTATTTTATGAATATTTAGGAGGAAGTTATTACATGCCCTCCTCACCCACCCAAACTTCAAACTTAAGTGTAAGTTCCCTGTTCCTTACTATTGAGAGTAGCCACATTTGTAGCTTTGAATATTGACTGCGCATGCGCTTGGCGGGATCTCATGTAATAACTTCCTCCTAAATATTCATAAAATAAAGATCAAACTTCAAACGGTAAGTTCTCGTTTAATCTTACTATTTTACTGTTTCCCTCCAAGTGAAGATTAATCTTTTCAAACAGGTATTTTTCTCTTCTCGTCATCTTCATCAAATTCATTGCCTTCGGAAATCTTTTTTTTTTTTTTTTTTTTTTTTTTTTTACATGTTTAGCTGATTGTCTTGCCGATTCATGTACGAGTAGAGGAACTTGTTCTCCTGGATCAGCCGCCGTAACGTGCGTGTGTAATTCCGGCTATTCTGGCGATTCATGTGAAACAGGTAATCTATAACTTCTGAATAGATTATACAAAAAACATACATACATTCACTTTTGATGTAAAGCAAAATCCAATGAAATTCTTATTCGTTGCTTATTAAGAAATTAAAGATACAGAGCGAACAGGGGAACAGAAAGAAAGAAATTACAGTGATTGTTGAGGAAACTCTTTGAGTTTCTTCTTACTTGAGAATCAACAGAAGTGAAAGTACAGACATACAGATTTGAACTTTGAAAGAAATAATCAGTCCGTTTACTTTGTTTGATTTATTGACTGATAGTTTCACAAATGAGCTAACTCTTTCCCTCACTGTCGTTAATCGAATTGAAGATACCACTTTTGACTCTATTTTAGTGTATCCCTCCAAGTGAAGATTGATCTTTTCAAATATGTATTTTTCTCTTCTCGTCATCTTCATCAAATTCAGTGCCTTCGGAAATCATTTTTTTTTTTTTTTTTTTACATGTTTAGCTGATTGTCTTGCCGATTCATGTACGACTAGAGGAACTTGTTCTCCTGGATCAGCCGCCGTAACGTGCGTGTGTAATTCCGGCTATTCTGGCGATTCATGTGAAACAGGTAATCTATAACTTCTGAATAGATTATACAAAAAACATACATACATTCACTTTTGATGTAAAGCAAAATCCAATGAAATTCTTTTTCGTTGCTTATCAAGAAATTAAAGATACAGAGCGAACAGGGGAACAGAAAGAGAGAAATTACAGTGATTGTTGAGGAAACTCTTTGGGTTTCTTCTTACTTGAGAGTCAACAGAAGTTAAAGTACAAACATACAGATTTGAACTTTGAAAGAAATAATCAGTCCGTTTACTTTGTTTGATTTATTGACTGATAGTTTCACAAATGAGCTAACTCTTTCTCTCACTGTCGTTAATCGAATTGAAGATACCACTTTTGACTCTATTTTACTGTATCCCTCCAAGTGAAGATTAATCTTTTCAAACAGGTATTTTTCTCTTCTCGTCATCTTCATCAAATTCATTGCCTTCGGAAATCATTTTTTTTTTTTTTTTTTTACATGTTTAGCTGATTGTCTTGCCGATTCATGTACGAGTAGAGGAACTTGTTCTCCTGGATCAGCCGCCGTAACGTGCGTGTGTAATTCCGGCTATTCTGGCGATTCATGTGAAACAGGTAATCTATAACTTCTGAATAGATTATACAAAAAACATACATACATTCACTTTTGATGTAAAGCAAAATCCAATGAAATTCTTATTCGTTGCTTATCAAGAAATTAAAGATACAGAGCGAACAGGGGAACAGAAAGAAAGAAATGACAGTGATTGTTGAGGAAACTCTTTGAGTTTCTTCTTACTTGAGAGTCAACAGAAGTTAAAGTACAAACATACAGATTTGAACTTTGAAAGAAATAATCAGTCCGTTTACTTTGTTTGATTTATTGACTGATAGTTTCACAAATGAGCTAACTCTTTCCCTCACTGTCGTTAATCGAATTGAAGATACCACTTTTGACTCTATTTTACTGTATCCCTCCAAGTGAAGATTAATCTTTTCAAACAGGTATTTTTCTCTTCTCGTCATCTTCATCAAATTCATTGCCTTCAGAAATCATTTTTTTAATTTTTTTTTTTTTTTACATGTTTAGCTGATTGTCTTGCCGATTCATGTACGACTAGAGGAACTTGTTCTCCTGGATCAGCCGCCGTAACGTGCGTGTGTAATTCCGGCTATTCTGGCGATTCATGTGAAACAGGTAATCTATAACTTCTGAATAGATTATACAAAAAACATACATACATTCACTTTTGATGTAAAGCAAAATCCAATGAAATTCTTATTCGTTGCTTATTAAGAAATTAAAGATACAGAGCGAACAGGGGAACAGAAAGAAAGAAATTACAGTGATTGTTGAGGAAACTCTTTGAGTTTCTTCTTACTTAAGAATCAACAGAAGTGAAAGTACAGACATACAGATTTGAACTTTGAAAGAAATAATCAGTCCGTTTACTTTGTTTGATTTATTGACTGATAGTTTCACAAATGAGCTAACTCTTTCCCTCACTGTCGTTAATCGAATTGAAGATACCACTTTTGACTCTATTTTAGTGTATCCCTCCAAGTGAAGATTGATCTTTTTAAACGGGTATTTTTTTCTTCTCGTCATCTTCATCAAATTCATTGCCTCCGGAAATCATTTTTTTGTTTGTTTACATGTTTAGCTGATTGTCTTGCCGATTCATGTACGAGTAGAGGAACTTGTTCTCCTGGATCAGCCGCCGTAACGTGCGTGTGTAATTCCGGCTATTCTGGCGATTCATGTGAAACAGGTAATCTATAACTTCTGAATAGATTATACAAAAAACATACATACATTCACTTTTGATGTAAAGCAAAATCCAATGAAATTCTTATTCGTTGCTTATTAAGAAATTAAAGATACAGAGCGAACAGGGGAACAGAAAGAAAGAAATTACAGTAATTGTTGAGGAAACTCTTTGAGTTTCTTCTTACTTAAGAATCAACAGAAGTGAAAGTACAGACATACAGATTTGAACTTTGAAAGAAATAATCAGTCCGTTTACTTTGTTTGATTTATTGACTGATAGTTTCACAAATGAGCTAACTCTTTCCCTCACTGTCGTTAATCGAATTGAAGATACCACTTTTGACTCTATTTTAGTGTATCCCTCCAAGTGAAGATTGATCTTTTCAAACGGGTATTTTTTCTTCTCGTCATCTTCATCAAATTCATTGCCTCCGGAAATCATTTTTTTGTTTTGTTTACATGTTTAGCTGATTGTCTTGCCGATTCATGTACGAGTAGAGGAACTTGTTCTCCTGGATCAGCCGCCGTAACGTGCGTGTGTAATTCCGGCTATTCTGGCGATTCATGTGAAACAGGTAATCTATAACTTCTGAATAGATTATACACAAAACATACATACATTCACTTTTGATGCAAAGCAAAATCCAATGAAATTCTTATTCGTTGCTTATCAAGAAATTAAAGATACAGATCGAACAGGGGAACAGAAAGAAAGAAATTACAGTGATTGTTGAGGAAACTCTTTGAGTTTCTTCTTACTTGAGAGTCAACAGAAGTTAAAGTACAAACATACAGATTTGAACTTTGAAAGAAATAATCAGTCCGTTTACTTTGTTTGATTTATTGACTGATAGTTTCACAAATGAGCTAACTCTTTCCCTCACTGTCGTTAATCGAATTGAAGATACCACTTTTGACTCTATTTTACTGTATCCCTCCAAGTGAAGATTAATCTTTTCAAACATGTATTTTTCTCTTCTCGTCATCTTCATCAAATTCATTGCCTTCAGAAATCATTTTGTTTTTTTTTTTTTTTTTTACATGTTTAGCTGATTGTCTTGCCGATTCATGTACGACTAGAGGAACTTGTTCTCCTGGATCAGCCGCCGTAACGTGCGTGTGTAATTCCGGCTATTCTGGCGATTCATGTGAAACAGGTAATCTATAACTTCTGAATAGATTATACAAAAAACATACATACATTCACTTTTGATGTAAAGCAAAATCCAATGAAATTCTTATTCGTTGCTTATTAAGAAATTAAAGATACAGAGCGAACAGGGGAACAGAAAGAAAGAAATTACAGTGATTGTTGAGGAAACTCTTTGAGTTTCTTCTTACTTGAGAATCAACAGAAGTGAAAGTACAGACATACAGATTTGAACTTTGAAAGAAATAATCAGTCCGTTTACTTTATTTGATTTATTGACTGATAGTTTCACAAATGAGCTAACTCTTTCCCTCACTGTCGTTAATCGAATTGAAGATACCACTTTTGACTCTATTTTACTGTATCCCTCCAAGTGAAGATTAATCTTTTCAAACAGGTATTTTTCTCTTCTCGTCATCTTCATCAAATTCATTGCCTTCAGAAATCATTTTTTTTTTTTTTTTTTTTTTTTTTTTACATGTTTAGCTGATTGTCTTGCCGATTCATG